GCAGCACTTCTCTAGCAAAGACAGAGCAGAGCTGAAGGAGGAGACCACCGCACCGCACAAGTAGTTGTAGCGTTGATAAAATGTTGTTGCAACGCTGCAAGGAGAAATAGGGCCCTTAACAGCGAATGAGGCTGGCTTGCTTGGTTACGATCAATCAGATTGTTTGTGTATTCTAGAATGACGAAACGCTATAACGCATCGTTTTGTGGCATACAATGTTATGCGTTGAGGATGAGATAGATTGTAGGAGAGGAGTACGGTGAAAGGGATAAATATCTAAGTAATAAAAGCATAAATTTAGAGATACCGACGACATGACCCATAAACCTGTCCTTTCTTTCAAAATTTATTTATTTCAGCCGTTGTTTTTTCGATGGGACTACAATTACACATAGATGTATCATGCTGATGGATAGCCATAAGAACATAAATATTTATATGGGATATTCATGAACTGAGAAGAAGAGACATCAGTCTTTCCTTTTACCTCTATCTCGTATATATCCATAGTCGTTATTCTCCATCTTTCATCAATTTCTTTTTATCTATAAGTGCGACTAATCGTAAAGAGTGGGCAGACAGAATTATGCTTGTTTTATAGACTGTGAATTTTAGAGAGAATGAGGAATGGAAGGGAGTGTAAGGAGTATGGGGGAAAGAGTAAAAGTGAAAAGAAAAGAGACAGTTGGTGAATCGGGGAAAGCAATAAGAATGAGATCAAAGCGGACAGTTAGTGTGTGTAGTGAAAGAATAAGGGTAAATATAGTCAGTATATGTAAGAAAAGAATAAGAGTGATAGATAAGTAATAGGTGCGGAAAAGAATAAGGGCGAATTGAAAAAAGACAGCTAGTTTATATGGGAAAAGAACAAGAATTGCTGAGTGCGGTAGGTCTGTGCGGTGTGATTTGGTGTCAATCTGATATGTTCACTCATGGCTGTCTTTCGGATTATAATTGTTTGTATGTTAAGGCTGAAATATTCGTAGATGGAGGTTGATAGACAGTAAGTTGGACGTTATATGTTGCGCTGTGTGGTCTGCTCTTGTGTTCGCGCTCGCTTCAATTAGAATTCTAACAGGAACAGGATGAAATGAAGGGAGGGACAACCGAGAGAGCTCTCTTTGAGATGTCACTTTCAGGGACAAGATGCAGAGAGAGAGGGGCGGATAATTAGAGACGCAGTGAAGGGCATGAATGGATGGTAACTGTGATAAATATGCTGAAAGCAAGAGAGAATAGAAGAAAGAAAGTGGTGTGTTATGGTGAATGAAAAGTTTTGCCTGCAGTGGTGATGAGCGTGGTGATCATCATCATCTCTGGCAGCATTCGATATGCTGCCCTTACTCATAGTATTGCTAGTTGGTCGTTTGCCTAACATCATAACACAACTCATCAAATACACTGCTCTATGTGCTATCATCATTCTGAATGCTGACGAAATGAGTTGTTATCTGTATGTGTATGTGTGTTGTTTCTACAGTGCTCTTGAAGAGTTTTAGTGGGAGCGCGTTTCTCATATACAAATACATACGCAAATAGATATACATCATATTCTGTTCATTCATTTCGTAACATATTTTCTTCTTGTTTATTATTATTACCATTCTCGTGTATATTCTGCAATCGCTTAATGTTGTTGCTGATAAAGGTTGTGAGCTTGAAGCTTTTGCCAATGTTGATTTGAAAGGTGCCACGTGTATTCTTCACCACATTGCTATTATTATAGCCGTTTATCGATTGTTCCTGTTGTAGTTTCGCGTTTCTGCTTACTTAAGGTCTCAGCTTAAAAATTAACCAAATAGCTACCATCCGACCGTATTTTCAGAATAAATGATACAAAATTCATCTCAGTGATAATAAATGATATAAGTGTATATATGTCATCATTAATGAATAATTGTAATCACGGTGGTTGCTACATCTATGCGAAATAAACAATCGGAAGAAATCGCATCACGGATATCATTTATGTAATAGCAGTAACTATAAAAATATTGATATATAATAAAATAGAATTAATTGTGGACATATTCCGTCAACTGGAATAATATCATTATTGGCGATCTACTGCAGCGAATGGTCTTCATGCGTACATGAATAAATAAAACATTCGTCTATTAATTTATCGCCACAGCTACTGGATTCTATTGGCAAACTAATAATAATCATACGCTTAAACTGGGCCATTCCCATATGGAATGGTCATTAATGGACCAACAAGGAGCGATTATAAAAGATCTGGGTATCTTATAAGTGCATCTTTGATATCGGTGAAAAGTATTGTTCCTAATAAATATCGAACAAATTGTAGTTTTATTGCCAATAGTACTGAAAGAATTTGGTCTTCTTCTATCAACAGCAACATTGTGGGATATCCTTCGATTTAATTTATTATTACTGATTATCACCAGTCAAAGGTATTGAAGAGGAACATAGCAGCAGTTGGAGTGTACCTGGTGGATTATTGCGAGAAGTATTATCAGCTGATATTCTTCTTTATTATCAACAACAGTAACATTACTCAATTATTGTTATTGTGATTTCAACTCGAGTATTAATTATCCATCGACAAAAACATTCAAATAAAAATGAGTCGTGAAAGTCGACATGTCCATGTGTTTGGTCTGCCGGACGCTCTCTCCGAGGAGCGTGTATCGAGTTTTTTCTCAACGTAACATTCTCGATTTATTGATTTTGTTCACTTATTTATTCATAATAATAAAAGCAATACGAAGTGAAGTAATGCGGATTGAATGATATAATAATAATAATAATGAATAAGTTCAGATTCGGTCGTGTCCAGAAAGCAGAACGTTTATCAAATAACAGTGTTGTGGTAAGCTTTATGGATGTTAGATCTGCGCAGAAAGTGCATTCAGCCGAGCCAAAATTTGATGGTCATCAGTTACGTATCACNTTTCATGAACTTAGCAAGAAGTGAGACGATTACTTTATATCAATGCATATTCGTTATTATTATTGCTGGTGATGCTTCGCCTTTATCATCACTATCCTAGCAGACTGTTGCTACCATCGTCATCATCGTCTAATGACGTCATTTTTACCAATTCTCTCTATCTGTCTCTCTCTTTCTCTTCTCAACACTGCTCGACAACAACAACAACAACGTCAAACAACCCAATTACTTGTCCCGTACCTACCTCATGAACATTCGACGCAAGCAAAATGGGGAACGAACGAACATTTATTGAAGCACTTATTGATTAATTATTTATCCATTCGGACTGGATATATATTGTATCATATATCTATCTATCTAACTATATATATATACATATACATATATGTATATATATACACATACATATATATACATACATATATATATGTATATATCATCTAATTAATTAATTAATTGAAAAGCAGCATTTATGCCGTCGTCTTCGACAATCTTATCCAGTCGAAACCCTTAATTCGAGTCGGATTTTTATCCGCTTTCTATTGTGGAATAACTGATTAATTCACGACAAGATGCATTTATCAATGGCATGATAAACGAGAATTGATATGCTGAATATTGATTTGTTGATGTGGTTCGGTTTACATTTTATGTTTGTTTGTTGAATTATTGAGTGAAGAGGAAATGAGATGTGTGTTGCTTTGTTGATTATTTTGGTGTTAGTTAAGTTAGGTGTTTTCGTTTTGATAGGTGATATATGAGACACTGAAGGTCGATGTGGTTTTCATTTTGAATTGTCAAAATTTTTTGAACTAGGGAACATGGGATGAAAGTGTGAGACCGATACGGAAACAGTGTGGTTTTTCACTGAGTTTTAGTGAAGAATAAATAGGTTGAATTCTAATTACATACTCATTCATTTTTCAATTTTTATTTTGTAAAAACTTCGGTGTGATTGTGAGCATTTTAATTTTTCGTCTATAGACAGTGAGAATAATAATGGTAGCAATAGTTTAATAGCTTATTTACCACATCATTTATTGATTACCGATCAATATTAACACTATCATCTCTTTCGTCATTCCTAACTGAGTACTCTAGGTTCTTTCCTCACTTCCCCATTTCCTTTGTGGCAAAAAAGGCACAAATTCGAGACACACACATTGTTTGGTTGGTGCTTCGCGAATTGGTAAAAGAATCTATTTATTGATTGACAGGCCGCATATTGCAGAGAACTTTAATTCTAAATTTTTTTGAGTTTGGGGCTAAATACTTCCATCTGCATTTACATCAGTCAGCTTTATTACGGTTTTGATTTAGATACTGAAGATTCTGATTTTGCTGTGTAATTGCCTAGTACAGAGTGCTGGAATCATGATCAAGGGATTGACGGGCTG